AGGTTATATTTATATATTTAGAAATACACACAGACATATACATGTAACAATTAGAGAAAAAAGGCTATGAATTTGAAATAGAACAAGGGATTCTACATGGGAAAGTTTGACGGGGGAAGGGAAAAGAAAAAATGATACTATAATCTCAGAAGAACATTTTTTTTAATCCACAGTAAAAATGTATGTGATAGCCAGAAGTTGGTAACTCACACCTTTAATCCCAGCACTTGGGAGGCAGAGGCAGGCAGATATCTGTGAGTTTGAGGCCAGCCTGGTCTACAGAGCGAGTTCCAGGACAGCCTCCAAAATAATACAGAGAAATCCTGTCTCGAAAAACCAAAATAAATAAATAAATAATAAAAATGTATGTGATATTGTTAGACTGCTTAGGTCATCATGTTACTGCATCATAAGAAAGAAATACCTCAGTCTCTGGTGTTTAGCTGTGGTCCTAAGTTTTAGCTTTTTATTTACCTATTTATCAAGATCATATATTAACAAAGACATTATTAAAAAATGTCTTATAAGACTGGGGCTTTCCAGATAGTTCAGGGGCAAGCCAGTGATTCCAACCAGACAGATATATTTTATGTATTTATAAAGAAACTATAATGTTGTGGTTACATTTTTTAAAAAACAAACAACTTTCACAGATAAACAATATTTACATATAAGTTATTATAATTCTAGGATTTATTATTTCAAAGTAATGAGGAGAAAGGTGGGTGACCCTGAGTTGAATTTTACTGAAGCCTGATGATAGACTATACTATTCTGGCTACCATATTTTTAGATACTTTGTTACTTTGTCTATTATAACATTTTTATTTTATTTTTAAATAAATTACATTGTTTCCTCCTCCCTTTCTTTTCCACCTCCAACCCCTCCATGTACCCCCATTATATTATTTAATCTACCAAGCTAGAATATTTATTGAAAAGATATAAGTCATAAATTTATATTCTAGTATTTTCACAAGTATTTGTTACAACCTGATAAAAAAAAAAGACTAGCAGAAAGACTATCATGTTCTACTAATCAAGTTTTACAAGTTAAAAATTCAAAATACTTGACTGACTGCTTTAAACTAAAAGATAATTTAAAGAAAAACTTCATGGTCTGTGTCAATTCTAACATTAAATAGTTATAACATTTCCTTTACATTATTAAAATTTCAACTAACTGTAAACCAAGTGAATTATTATAAGTAGAAATTGATGAGTGTTAAAAACAACTCTTGTGTTGTTTCTGACCCCGAAAGGTAATCTTTTATCACAGGACAGGTAATACCAACACACACTGACCTAAGGCAGTACAGCAACCCCTTGCCCAGCATAACACAGCTGGATTTACTCCATTTTTGTATTATCCACAAACAGGTGGCCACGTAAGACTAGCTTCACTGATGTGAACACATGCCACTGCAATAAGTCTCCAAACTCCCACAGTGAAAACCCAATTTTTTTGCCTAGCTAAAAGATTTCATATAAAATCAACAGTACACTATTATTCCAAAGTAATACTTTCTTAAACTTTGCTGGTAACAAACATTAATTTAGTACTGTGCTGTATTCAAACTCTGAATTCTCAAAGCACTGCTTAACGAAATAGGGACAGAAAGACTAAGTTGCCTGCAATATGTATTGCAGACAGGATCCAGACCTGTATCAAAGCCCATATCAACTCACTGTATCCTCCCAGTGAAGAAAACCAGCCAGGCCCCGTGTGAGGACTCAGTGTGTGATGTCACCAGGAAGGAGGATCACAAGTTCAAAGCCCACCTAGGTAGGTAAGTGGGCATACACTCTCCTCTCTCTTTCATTTATACACACACACAAGAAATTAAAGCCTCTATAAGGCTTGCTACAGATACTACTAGCATGAAGTAAGCACCAAACCTGAACCGTGGTTGTCTTTTCAATAAACTAATGGAACAAGATATACTTTGTAAGATCAAATTTTTATCTTACTGCAACTCCCATAATCTATTTATTGTAAATTCAATCAATGTCTATTTTAATTCCAAATAAATTTTTCTAATTTTGAATGAAACTCTACAAGGATTGCTCTACATCTCGTGAAGATTAAAGTTTTCCATTGATCATAAAAGGAAAAGTGTTGCATTAAATTATGTATAAAATTAATAACAGCAAATTAAAATTCTGCTACCATAAGTAATAAAAAATACAATCCTACTGTGGCACAAAATGTTTTGCTATGGTGACAGAATTTGAGAAATGGCTCAGTAGTTAAGACAGCTGGCTTCTCTTCCGGAGGACCTGGGTCCCACAAGTCCTGGGTGGCTTACAACCATCTGTAGCTGCCTGCAGTCCCAGGATACTGATGCCCTCTTCTGGCCTCCCTAGACACCAGCAAGGCAAGCGGTGCACAGACACACACAGACAAAACACCCACACATATAACAAAATAAAAAACATTTGCCAACTCACAGACAAGCCCACTCACATGTCAGTGCTTCCACAATTACAAGCGACACTAGCACATGGTCACACTCCATCTTCAGATGTTCGGCTTTAGTCACAGAGGTAAGGGGCCGCAATTTGAATCATTCTTCCCAGAGACACATGCCCACTAACTTACTAAGTTTTCTTCTCCATTCATGCTCTCATATTGCATTGTCCAGCAATGCGCATATATTTCTGGAGATCTCAAGAGCTTGGCAAGTTACTCTGCAAAGTACCCTGGCACAGTAATGCGAATGGTTAAATTGTTTTCCTGCTGTCCATCAGAGCACCCTTTTGACAAGCAACACTCTTCAACAGGCGAGACTGCTTGCCACTCATGCCTCATCTAAACCTCAGCCAAACAAAGAAAACAAGGAACAAAAATGCCAACCAACACGAAAGTTCCTTGGTGTATTCAAAAGGCGGGCAATCGTGGGATCTTCGGGAAGGGGTGTGTTAAAGTCCCTAAAAACTGTCAACGTTCTGTCCTGGCTACCCCTCTCCTGTGGCTAAGTCCGGTGTTTTGTCTGGGGAATGACCCCGGTCTGAACTCAGTGCTGAGTAAGTGAAACGCTGGAGTTATCGATCTGTCTTGGGAACCCTGCTCCAACTGCTCCCTCTGCGCCGGCGACTCCCACCGGGAGCTGAGCTCCGCAAGCCTCCAAGCGCAGGCTTAAGCACCCCTTCACCTCTCGGGGACAGCCCTCGCCTCGGCCCCCACACGCCGTACACGCCAAGCTGACGTAAGTAAGATCTTCTTTCAGTAATCCCACCGGCAGATGGGCGAGCGGCGGTCTCTAACCTGCTGTCAAAGTCGGCCCAAACACCCCGGCTGCGGGACGAGCCCTTCCTCGGGGAGGTGCGAACCGCAGCGGCCATTCCAGTTCGCGTTCCTCGGGGCCAGGCCGCCGGAAGCGGTAGCGTCTGGCACCCGCACAGGGGCCAGCTTCTACACTATCTTCTGGCGCTGTGCTTACGGAGGGCTGGCCCCGGGGGCACGCGCGATCGCGGGCCCCCACGTCTCGGTGTGCACCCAGAAGTTTCAGGCGAGCATTCCCCAGCGGCCTGAGCCTCCGGGGGGAGGCGAGGGGCAGAGAGGAGAGGCTTAGGCAGGCTTAGGCCCTGCCTGCCCGCCCGACAGGGCGCCCGCCGCGCTCCTAGCCCCCGCCCGCATCTCCCGCGGCCCGCGAACAATGCGCCCGCCCGCCCGCGCCGCACTCACTCACCACCCAGGTCAGCGCCCCATCAGCACCCGCGAGGCTGGACTTGGCCATGGCAGCTCCTCCCGCGCAGGCCAGGGAAGGGGGGTTGCTGCTCGCGCTCCGGGGCCGCCGGGCCGCCGGGCCCGCCGCTCGCACTGACCGCTGCGCGCCGCGCTCCTTAGCCGCGCCCCATCGCGGGCCTGAGCCGCCGAGGAGGCCGCGCCGCCAGCCGCCCTCAAACTCGAGCGCGGCGCCCGGGCCTAGCGCGCGGCCGAGGGTGAGGAAGGGCTGGCGGTGCGGCGCGGCCTCCCGAGGCCCACGCGGGCGATGGGGGTGAGGATGAGGGCGGCGAGGGTCTGCAGGGGCCGGCGAGGAGGCGCGAGCCGGAGCCCCGACGCGACCGACTGAGGCGCCGCTGCTTCTCCTCACGCCTCCGAGGCCGCCGAGTAGTCGCTGCGCGCGCCGCCGCCTTGAAGGCCGCCGCTGCCACAGAGGCCGTCCAAGTGGCGCCCGAGCCGGTCCTCAGAAGCACAGGCCGAGAGGGACAATAAACACAGCCGCCGTAGTCGCCTCCCTCTAGTCCGGCATAACACCGCACACACAGGCGCGCTCCGGGAGGGGGAGGGCGCGGCGGCCACCCGGCTGTCAGTCAGCCGCGCGCCGTCCAATCACGGCCTTGTCACCGCAGCCCGTCGACCAATCCAAAAATTCTAGGCCTCTAGAGGGGCGGGACCCGAGGGGAAAACGTCATTGCGGGTAGCAACTGAGAGGCAGACTTGGGTTTTTTGTTTGTGTGTGAGAGTGTGTGTGTGTGTGAGAAAGAGAAAGAGCGAATGGGGTTTCCATCTGAAGGGAGAGCGGGCGGCTGTCAGGGGTCATTCCGGGGCGGCTACAGGAGCCCGGAGTCGTGGGCCGAGGGCTGGGGAAACCTCCGGGCTGTGTCCCGCAGACCTGCCGGGAAGCCTCGGAGGGTGGGGGCAGGGAGGCAGGACGCTCAGGCGTCCCCGGGGACTGGGCCCCTGGAGTAAGCTAGCAAGCTGAGGGCAAGCTGAGGCTGGGACTGCCAGCAGCCGGACCCGGCTCCCAGGCCCCAGGTTGCTGCTGTGCAGAGCGTCACCCATCCGGCAGTCTCCCTGCCCTTCATCTGCCCGTCCCCAAACACCGCAGTCAGCCTTCAGTGCCAGCATTTAGAGTACTTAAGAGATAAGGGTGCCCGGGGAACCAGGCAGGGAAGGAACGCGGCGAGCAGGTCAGGGTTCCCTTTCCGGGCTAACTGACCTTCCCTGTGAACAATGCAGACAAGTCCCTGTCACGTTTCATCTGTCAAGAGCTGCACCGCACTGCTCCTAAGAGGGCACGCATATCTGTTTGAACTTCCAGAGGCATTTTCAGATACACCCTAAGGAATAGATTTATTGGTGTGAAAGCTTTCTAAGAACAAAATTAGCAACACCAAAGCCTTTGGCAGATGGAAGAGCGCTTGACTTCACCCAGCCTGTAGATGGAATTGCATTCAACAAGTTCTCCTTGGGCATACTCCTTCCCGTGCTGTGCCAGGCGTGGCAATGGGTTTAAAGTGACAACAGCTTCAGATGTCAGTCTCCCAAGAGGGACTAACAAGAGGACCCCAAAGAACTTTATCCAGATGGAGCTTACGACGTTGTGTGGTGGTGTTTCTGGGAGTCTCTCCCCGCAGCTGAGTATTTCCCTTGAGGGAAAACAAAAACGTCTGGGGTCACACCTCTCAACCACATTCTGAACTCAAAGTGGGGGCTCTGAAACACGGGAATAATTTAAATGTAGTCCTTAAATAGCTCTCTGGAGACTGGAAGTTTGGTTTATTTGGGGACTGTGGGTCCGATCACTAAAGCCTTTCTTTACCTTGAATTTAGTGTTCTGACTTATAAATTGTCAGCCAGGGTCTAAGCTGGACTGAGAACTTGACAATGAAGTACCATGGCTGCGTTAATGAACTCTCCCAAGTTCAGCTTCCCGCCTCCCTCACTGTGGGTTTTTATTCTCATGCACTGTGACTTTACATCCCTGAGTACCCAAATAGTTGATCTTTGAAAACTTAAAGGTTGAGTATTTAAAAGGTAAACGTATGTGTGCTCCACATAGAAGCCAAGCTAAATGTAGTCTGTCTGATTTTGGAGACAAAGTCTCTGTGTAGCTTAAGCTGACCTTAAACCCTTGATCCTTTTGTCCCAATCTCTCAAGTGTGGGGATTACATGTATCACCGCCATACCCTGCTGATGTTTTAAAAAAAAATCAACAACAACAAACAAAAACAAAACATCACTTTCAAAACTCTTGAGCATCAGATTTTGAACTCAATCCAAATAGTTAATTAGTAAAATTCATGTTCACCTTCCAATTTCCCTAAGCTGAAGCAGTATTAAACCCATTAGCTTTCTAAGCAAGAACAAACTTCTCTAATGTTTGTTTATTCTTTAAAAACACTAGCCTAGGGGTTGGAGAGATGTACAAATAAAGACCTTTATTTAATGACCTTTCTCAGTAGCAACCATGGAAGCTCAACTTCAGGTGTCTCTTGGAGTTTATGTGGCTTTTGTTTTGGGACTGTGTCTCACTGTGTAAGCTGGCCTTCCTGCCTCAGCCGCCAGTGTACTGGACTGGTAGGCATGCTGTATTATGCCCAACCTATTAAATGTCTGCTCTGTTAAGTACTTGGGACATGGAAAGTTAAGCAATGAAAATAGTTCTCACATTGAGTTAGTACAACTTTATTATATATATTTTTGGCTGTGTTGTATAATTTTGACACAGTGTTTTTGGCCCAAAGGCATTTTTGCACTTGCTTATTTGCTACTCACTACTGGTCTATCACTAAACTTTATACACAGCAGTTAATTTAATCAATAAATAAAGTAAATATAGAAAATAGCTTTTGAAAACCATAGTGCCCTATAGGGCTGAGTTCTGCTGGAACCATATATTGCTCCAGTATTGCAATTCAATGCAAGGCCTGATGTTTTAGTCAGCAAGCTTTTAGAGCTGCCACTACTGCTCCAAGCTTCATGCTGTCCCCTTTGTGTTAGTTGTGAATACGGAGTATTATAAAATTGTTTTTAATTTCTCCGTGTGTGTGTGTGTGTGTGTGTGTGTGTGTGCATGTGTGTACAAGTATTGTGGACAACTGAAGACATATGACCACATTCCTGAGTATCATCACCACTATAAAGTAAAAAAAGAAAAAATCTAAATATCTTTAGTTCCTACCTGCAATGAATACAGGATGTTTATTTTTGTTTTGGAGGAATTTGGTTTTATTGGTTTGAGTCCAGTAAACTGTTCTGATCCCTAGGTAAGGTTCTAATTACTTCTATAGACAGAAGGAACATCTTCATTTAATTTTCCTTGATATAAATCAATAATGATTAAGGGCTCTTAACTGCTCTCCTGAATTAAATAATGTAGAAAATGCAATTACCACATGCTTGACTTGAAGCTGTTCATGGCCTTTGCAATGGAGTCTAATAGAGTGGACTTTCTCAGAGCAACTGCCTTGTTCTGCAAAGCCCTGTTGAGAACACCGAGGTACTGTCATCTGCCCGCCCTTCACAGACTTGCCAACACCGGCATGCCTGCTTCTCGGCTGCATTTGAAGTCCTTGTACAACCCTCTCCAAGGTTCGCTAAGAGTCAGACCTGAGGCAACAAGATAGCCATGACCTTCCTGCTTGTCTGGTCCCATTTCTGGAGTAAGAAATGCCATAGCTGAAGCTGCCATGTTGCTTTTATTCTGTAATCTCTTGGGATATTTTGTTGAGAGGTGAAACCCATGATGGATTAGAAACATCTATACTAGAAGAATCTATACTAGACTTGGAAACCCTCCAAGTCAGAGGACTCTGTAAATAAACAGAGGGGAGAACTTGAAAGTCATTCAAGGTGTTAATTGATTATCAAAGCACTGAAACACACCATCTTTTAGTGCACCAATTAACAACAACAAAACCAAGTTATTTCTTCTTTTCAAAACCGTAAGATTAGTCGCAATATTTTACAGAACTATTATCTTGTCTAGCAGCTTTCCTCTTTGCTTTGAGAAGATTGTCATAGAGCAAGAAGATGAAGAAGTCTAAAGCAGGGTGATTCTCTAAGGAACACATTGGTGTTTTAAGTGTTTGTGGAAGACATAAAAGCAAAGGCAGCCAGCTTAGTAAATTCCACACTCTGTTGTGCTGCATACCCAAATAAAGTGTCTGACGCATAAGTCAATGTTCAGCAAGTATCTGATCAAACCACCAATGAAACATTGGTGTCCTTCATGCATATCCCTGTGCTCAGACTCAGCGGTTTGACATTTATTCTTCAGCATTGTAAGTGTTTGGTATTTTGGCGGTGTTCTATGTTGTATACTAGAGAGGGTAACAATACCTAAAACTGTTTGACTTAACATATCACCAAGAATTGATTAATTGGGACAGGCATGGTAGGACATACCTATAATATCAGCATTCGATAGGCAGAGAAGAAAATCATTGCAAATTTGAGGCCAGCTTGGTCAATGTAGCGGGTTCCAGATAGGCCAGTTGTGGTGGAGTTGGGGGTAGCACTGGTTTCTCTTTAGGAATAAGAAACAGGATTGTGTGATCAACGAAAGACAAAGATATGTCACAGTTCCAGGAGAAAGAGTGAAGGGCAGAAAGGGGGCCTTGGCACAACAATCAGTGGTGGCTTCATAGTTCTCACCCTTCACTTTACCCCAGCTGGTGCAGTAAGGGCAGGCTCTTTCAAACATATCAGCCTGAGGTGCAGATGGCATAATCATTCTTACTGTAGTCAAGAAACGAGAGGTCACACAACTGTTTAAGTAGTGGGAATAAAAATTCAAAACCAAGTCTCGCCCTAGCCAAGTCATACCCTTCTGCCACAAAGCCTTGTTGGCCAGCATACTTAGAAATGGAGAAAATTTGACCACATCCTGGGAACCTGGACCGCCATGGAAACAAACCTTGATCTTCATCATTGGCCCTTAGCAAAGCCCCCCGTGTTGTTTATTGTTGAGTTTTGGTGACAAGTAGCTACAGTTTGTGTCACTGACTGATCGTCTTCAAAACCAAACTGCATTTGCTTTGTTTTGTCTAATAATAACATATAATACAACAGTTGCTTTCTGAAGTCTAAAATATGGAAGAGAACCCAAGGATCATAGTCCCATGTTCTGGTAACAGGTGACCACCTGTGCAATTTAAACTTTATCATGCAAACTCTATGCCCTTACTCCAAATATACAGCTCGGTTTCTTCGGCAGTTGCATTCAGATGCTGCATGAAGGCAGACCAATGCTGGGACAGTGTTTATGTGCATATTTCAGATAGCTTCCATTTCACAGAAGCTATTTAAGGCAGCATAGAATAGTTTCAAGTAGTCACACAGAGGCTACTGGCTTATAATCTACTTTACTATACCTAACGTTTTTGTTTCTTTCTTTCCAGCATTTTGCAAATGATGTTTCAATTTGCTAGACCTCCAAGAAATATACCTGTATGTTTTAAACTTTGTTGCAGAAACATGCACACAGTTGAGTAGTTCTCACGTGTAAGGATCCATAATGCCTGGTTGTGTTTTAAGTTTCTTAGGAATACTGCAGGGAACAAGTTCTTCTTGAACCATAGTGTTCAGTAAGTAGCTGCACAAAATTCACAGTGAAGCTCTTTCCAGAAGTAGCTATTGACATCCTGAAAATGTGTCTTAGAGAAACAACTCATGGAACCAGTGCCACTGTGTATATTATCTGTTCTCTGAACATGCTTAGTTTATAAGTTTAGACCATTCACACATCCTGTAGACCAGAAGCTCCATTCTTATGTATGTGAAAAATAAAAGTATCTTCTGACATGTACCAGAAGGCACTCTAGATTGCCCAAGCTGACAATTCATAGGGACCCCAACCTAGAAGCAACCCCAGTGGCCATTGATAACAGAATAGACTAATTGTCTGTGCATGCAGTGGAGTCCTGCCCAGCGCTAGCAATGACTAATGGCTAAACACACTGTGAATCTCAAACAGTATGCTAAGGAAGACAGAGTGAAAGGAACACACATTGTAAGATGCCACTTACACAGACTTTGAAAGCATGTAAAATTAATCTACACTAATAGAAGTCAGATATGGGCACCTGTGGATGTAGGCTTGAGTGTGGTCATTTCTATTTGCCAGACTAAGTGATGATATGAGTATGCATGTCCTAAAACACCCAGATGCACACTTCTGCATTCTCTACTTCTTTGTGTAATTGCTGCATTTTTAAGAAAAAATGTTTTAGGGTCTGGATAAGTAAAAATGGCTTGGCTGTTCTTCCAGAGGACCTGACTTTGATTCCCAGAACACGCATGGCAGCTCACAACTGTAACTCTAGTTTCAGGGGGTCCAATGCCTTCTTCTGGCCTTCCTGGGCACCAGGGAGGCATGTGGTACACAGACATACATGCAGACAAAGCATCCACTCACTTAATATAATTAAATAATATTCTTTAAAAAGAAAAGAAAAACGTTTACTTTAAAAACCTTGCCTCAGAAATCTTGCACAGTGACAAACACCTACAAATCCCAGCACTCTGGAGGTAGAGGCAGGAGGGCCAGAACTTCAAGGTTATCCTTGGTGGCTACATTGCAAGTTTAAGTTTAGGTTCATCATGAGACCCTATCTCAAAAGAAACAAACAAAATTCACAAACACTTGACAAGAGAGTGTGGAAAATCAAGCTTACCCAGATCAAATCCAAAGATTCAGTCAGAATCTGAGGTGGCAGAAATCTCTCTCCCACGTGTTTTCCTTTTGATGAGTACAACCTACAACCGGTGTGATGGGGACATGTAAGCTCCCACATAAGCACTGGAGGGCCACAATAAAATTGATTAGCTGCCTTGCTCAGCAGGATACCTTTACTTCCTAAATCTCAAATTTCAAGAGGAAAATTATGTGGACATTTTGTAGTCAAAACTACTATTATTTTTTGGCATGGTGCTGGCAACTTTCCTGCTTATGGGCATTAATCCCTACAGAAAACGATTAGAATAGGACTCTGAGTTTTAGGTGATTTGTTGAGTTTTTGTTTGGGTTAGAGGGTTGTTCATTGGTGGTTGTAGTTACTGTGACAGCATCTCACTCTGGGGTCCAGGCTGATCTGGAACTCATTATACAGTACAGACTGACATGGAACTTACAGTGCTCCCCTGTCTCGGCATCTCAGGCATTTTCCACTAAGGCCAGCTTGGATTAGGAGTTTGTTCTACAAAGTTCTCAAAATTACATCTGCAAAAGAAGATTGTGTCAAGTAAGACCCATAAACAGTCCTTTTGCATGCCTTTCCTGACTGCACTCCTGCCACAGGGTTTATGTCTTCCCAGAACATCACATGTGTGGAAACACACACACACACACACACACCACATACATACACCACACACCCATAAACATTACAAACACACACATACACCACACACACACACACACCACATACCCATAAACACCACAAACTCACACATACACTACACATACACACACACACACCACATACATACACCACACACCCATAAACATTACAAGCACACACATACACCACACACACACACACACACCACGAAGCAGGAGCCAGTCATCAATGGAATCTTAAGTTCTGCCCAGAGAGTTCCTTTACGTGTTCTAACCACAATTTCTGGAGTCTTACCCTGCCAACACAACTGCACTTGACTTATTAGCAGTGACTGCGTGGCTAGATAGCCACTTGGCTCTGAGCCAGCTTTTCAGTCCAGGAGCAGACTCTCAGGCAGAGGACTGCTAGGCTTGGAGATGAGTGCTCCATTAAACACCATGTGTGCATTTCGAGATGCTACTGGCATTCTTGTTCTCTACCTGCCAGAAGTCAGTATCATAGCAACAGCTACCACCAGCATTATCCTCACTGTGCAAACAGTGTCTTCAGACATGCTGACCCTTAAAAGACAAAGTGCCTTTCCTCCCCGTCACCAGAGAGAGTCCCAATCACTTTCAACACTGTTAAAGGATGTAGTGAATACCTCGTCATTGTTATAAAGTACTTTACAGACAAGAAAACTAAGGCCGGAAGGTTGACCTGCCCAATGTTCCAGCAAGGTGAGCAATAGAGCTGCAATTTCAGCAGATATGTCTCTTCTTAATCTCCTTTTCATTTTTTTCAAATTAATACAAAGAGGCATTAGAGAACACATTAAAGAAACCATACCGGACAGTGAACATCAACATTTGCTAAGAATAAATGCAACAAAGCCCTAAAATCACTCTAACTAACATCCTTCAGTTACTTCTAATGGAGTAAATAGTTAAATTGTTTCAGGTCTCCTAAAGGGTTGCGTCAGATAAACTCCTTTATAATACACATTCAGGCCAAATAGAGAACTTTGAGGAATTTTTAAGCAACCCACAGATAATGCTTAAGCTCATCAGTGGATACACAGCACTCTGAATGAAAGGCTCGCTGCTGGCTGGCCCCTCTGCTCTAGATTTCATGTCCAGTGCAGGGTAGACATTTGACAAGATAAACGGCAAAGCACCAGAGGGAGTAAGGAAAATGCATGATTACAGAGCTGTTTCTATTGGGTCTATTGTTGCATGTCAGATATTCAACATACACTAATCATTTGGCACCTGTCGTCATGTGCAATTCGTCCTACCAATATTTATTAAACACCTTCTGTGTCGGGTGGGTTAGCAGGTGCTACAAAGGATTAACTAGAGACAGAGCACACCTCTTGTGAAGCACATGGAAGAAAAGAAAGGGAGTAAGCAGCTGCTGAACTAGGTAATTACATCTGGGGAAAACAGGGGAGGAGGCTGTTGGGAGAGAAGTTGAGTTCTGAGGATGGAATGCCTTAACAAGCCAAAACTAGCCAACAGCACAGGTGAGGCTGAGGCGGGAGGGAACACTTAGAACTGAGGGAAAGGACAGCCCCAGCAAAAGGAAAAAAACCTCAGCCAAGGCAAGCAGGGTTGGGCCACCCTAAGGATTCTTCTCTTTGTCTATCAAAACCAAAAGCAAAAGAAAAAACTGGGAGAAGCCATTGAAGAATTCATAAGCAGTGCCATGTCTCAACTACATTTGGAGTTTATTATTTTATTTATCCTATAAAGTATGCCATAGTATCCAATATATAATACATATCATCTACTGTCAATAAGATCAGGCACCAATTCTTAGAAACTAAGTCAGGCTGGCTACCATGTTTTTCGTCTTACTTTTGGAAAAATGAGACAACTTTGGCCAATTACTGTCTCCCTCTTATTAGCAGTAAACGAGTCTTTCACAAAATGGTACTTAAACATTGTATCTCATCATTCAACAAAAGCTTAATGTCTAGAATCTATAAAGAAGCCAAAAAATTAAACACAGAAAAAGAACAGGGGAGAACGTTCATTTATGTCAGAGTTTCTGTGTTGCCCAGATCCTCAATAGCATTTGTTTTCTAGATAGTGTTCATTCTGAGTGGAATGAAATGGAATTACAGTGTGGTTTCGATTCAGCCCAAGCTTCTTGGGTTATACCTGCAATTTCAACACTTAAGAGCAAGACCCTATTTCAAAAAAGGAGGGGGAGGATGAGGAGGACTATGTGGAGGAGGAGGACTATGTGGAGGAGGAGGACTGTGGGGAGGAGGAGGACTATGTGGAGGAGGCAGACTATGGGGAGGAGGCAAGTCATGCCATTTGCAGAAAATGCATGAAACTGGAGACTTGTATTAAGTAAAATAAACTAGATACCCAGAAAGACAAATGCTAGTTTGCTCTCACAGGTGGAAATCTGCACCATAAATTTTTAAATATGTGCTATGAAAATTAGATGGGATTATTGGAGAGAGAAAGAAGAGGGGGAAGAAGAGAGGGTAGGGGACAGATACTGTATGTTTTATCTCAATATGTGAAATCTAGATTTTATGTATATACACATGCTCATTTACACAGTGAAAGTCAAACAACTTGGGAGGAACAAAGAGAGTGACAGGAAGAAGTGGGAAAAGTCACAGACAGCAGAAGCTGAGCTACCAGGCAGTCGACAGGCTTCTGACAGCCAGCCATGCAAGAGGCCACAGGGAGTGGCAGAAACTCAGATGCTAGGTTCCCTAGACATGACTTTCACTAGGTGATTCTTATCCCAGAGCTCTTGATTTTCAATGCAGCCAACCCCCACTTTTGTTTACTCACGTTGTGTCTCTTTTTTATCCAATTCTTTATCCATTCTCTCTCCCTCTCATTTTTTGTTTGGATTTTGTTTTTAAACAAGGTCTTATTGTATAGCCACAGCTGGCCTGTAACTCATTATGTAGACCAGGCTGGCCTCAAGTTCATAGACTTCTGCTTGTCTTTTTCCCAAGTACTAGCATTAACTGCAAATTTTTATGGTTATTTTTAATTTCTTAGCCCCAATAAGTTTGTGAATTAATCCTTGTGAAGTTCAATTTCTCCAGGTTTCTAGTTCCTTCCTCTGGGAACAAAAGGCCCTGACTTTGGTGTTCCTTTCCCCCTTCCTCTTCCTGCTGGTCCCTTTGTTCAATGATGTTTTGACTTCCACCTCTATGCAAAAAGTAAGATTGACAATTTCAGAAATATAACCAGGGAGTGAATGGCTTGCCTGTTCATAACCTACTCTGGGAATCTTTTCTATAATTCTACAACAAACATTTCATATTTTACCCACATTGTCAGCTTCGGAAGGCAAAAGCATGGCCATGCTCTTTCAACAGAAGGAATGAGAGCGAGCGCCTATTGTTTACCAGAACTGAATGGTATAGTTTAACAATCTGGGAAGGAGGAAGAACAGGAGGTGAGAGAGGGAGGGAAGAGAAGGAGGGCGGGTGGGAGAGAGAGAGGAAGGAAAGACAAAGAGGGAGGGTTGGGGGGAGGAAGGGAATAACTAGATCCCCCTTGTTTGGTTTCAGACATTTCAAAACTGCTTTTGGCTGCTTAAAAGTCACTTTGGTACTGGGCCTTCTTGTTAGAGTGTCCTCATGAGAGGTCATGGGACAAGAGTCAAACTTTGGGGAATTGCTCTTCCCCTCAGCTCAGCCATCTAGTGTCTCTCCCTTGAAGGGAGACAGACAGACAGACAGACAGACAGACAGACAGACAGACAGACAGAGACTGTGTGGATTTGCATTAAGTTGGTTTGGTTGCTTTTCTACTGTTTCCTGGTTCTATCCATTGGATGGATTTTTAAATATATATTACAGTCTTATGAGTTTAAAACAGGTCATCAAATCATTGGCTGACACTCAAATCACGAGACAGTCAAGAATAAAAAATAACATGCCACACCTTCCAGTATGATGTTAAAAATTCTATTTTCATATAAACAGTTACTGGAAATTTATCTTCAATAAAAAAGAAAGACTTCTGGAAATTCTAATGACAAAGACAAGCAGCCCTGCTACTGGACTAGAATGCATTGATGTTCTTTGGGTGTTCACACAGTGCCTATGTAAAAACTTTCTCTTCTTACCCCCTCCTCCAACTTCCTACCACCCCAGCATAGGAAACACCAAAACAACAAGAAAGAAAATAAAGACTGGTACTGTGCCTGCCTCAAAAGTGACTCTTCAGGATCTTGTACAAGCAGTGACATAGAAAGTCATGGGGAGACAAAAGCCAGGAACAATGGAAAAAGTCACCCAGTGGCAACTGAATTCCACACCTTCTCCCTGTATCCCTGCAGAGTTCCAAACTTTCTGCAACTACAAGTGATGCCTGCCTGTTGCTTATTTTAGAAGTGCAGAAAAATTGCAAGTATTCCTACAGGTACCGTTGGATCAATGTTATATATGTTAGGGTTCGAACCTGGGACAAATGGATAGCTGATGTGTCCATTAACATTTCATAACAGGCCTGGCTGCCAGGTCCTCCCTGCATCCCTCAGCCCCTACCTGTTACTGAGTATGGATGGCATACCCCGCCTCCTACCCTAAACTTTTCCATCCCGGAGGCTGGACTGCCCTCCCCCGGCTCCTCTGACCCTATATAACTCAGCCATTTGGGCTATGCCAGTCTGTTGGTGCAGGCTGCTCCTCTTGGTCAGCAGCTCCTGTTCCCTCTCCACCACATGGTCCAGCTCAGGATTTCCTAGGTGTCTCTGTCTCTGCTATACTCTCCCTTTTAGCTACTATAACTCTCCTCTTCCATCACACCTAGGAGCAGTCATGTCCTTTCCTTTATTTCTTTTTGTCATGCAATATACTACTACCAGAAAGCTGGCTTTGTCAGCTCCGCCCTGTGTTTGAGACTGGGGA